CAGTACGTTGTGACCCGAGCAGAGGGCCGCTGTGGTGTGTGTGTGTGGGGACTTGCTTATTCGACCAGATCGCCATTGAGAGCCTACTATACAATAATATTGGGCAGTATCTTGTTATCCTGTTTATGTGTATAGTATATGTAATTTGTATGCTGATAGTTCTGTTTTCTTATAATTAAATATTTATTTGTGGGCTGAACCACTCTTGTGTTATTAGTATAGTTTAAGTATTAATAGACTTGCAAGTGAGAGCTAGTGAGAGTTTTCCTTGAATGATAGAGTGAGTGTGAAGTAGGATTAGTGTAGAATACTTCATCAGGAAATTAATCGTACCCTAGACATAACCATACTAGCAGTACTAATCTAACGTAGAGGAAAGGGACCTTTGTTTGTTAATACAAACATTAAACATTGCAAACACCCATACTTTTAACAATTGGGTCAGTACATACATTTAATTACAACACATCATAAGTTTTGTAACACATTTTTTGTAACATACTATTTGTTCATAAGTTTATTGTTCTCTTTTTCTAAGTTTAACTTTAAAGTTGGGCGATTGGGGTGGGGGGGGGTCTCCAAAATATTGTGTTGAAACTTTCAGTTAAATTATAATTATATAATTGAGTGGCATACTGGTACTTCGTTTTCAACCACTCACACCATGCGTCTTTTCTCCGATACTCTGTGAAAAATCGCTAAGTTATCACTGACACTGCGCTTAGGGTGAGACTGAACTCTTGCCAAATCCATGACTGTAAAATTAACTACACATTTATGTTACATTTCATATGATAGTGTCACGAACTGGCTTCTATTGTGAGAAATTAATCTCTTGTTTTAAGTTATGGCTCGTTTAAATAGTTCATAACAAAAAGACCACACTGTACACAAATCAGGTTCAGAATAAAAATACAGATACGTATTACATATTTAAGTTTAAGACTGTATCCACTCTATCCTATTTACTAGTGAATTATTCTGAGAGAGCGTGAGGAGAAAAGAGACTTACTTTAGATATGGGCGGATGCCTGTGTTGCTGAGTTTGCTCGTTCTTTCTTTAGTAAGATGCCCTTGCTTGCAAAAAAACTTACCCTTGTCATAATATCCACAAATTGCGTCTCTTTTCTCAACTGAAAGAAACTAAATATGCAGTCAATATGACACATTGAAATGTAATATATATATCAATATCCAGACCCCCCCCCCCCCCTAATTACCATTCATTAAATTTAGGCCTATATAATAGTATATTCATCTTTAAAAGGTATACCGGGGTATGCAGCAGATATAGTTCCACATAGACCGCATATATTAATAAAAGTTATGGTGAGCAAATGCTTGATGGACATTATGGTAAGGTGATATTTAATGAAAGTTGTGGTGAGCAAATGCTTGATGGACATTATGGTAAGGTGATGTTTGATGAAAGTTATGGAGAGCAAATGCTTGATGGACATTATGGTAAGGTGATGTTTAATGGAAGTTATGGTGAGCAAATGCTTGATGGACATTATGGTAACGTGATGTTTGATGGAAGTTATGGTGAGCAAATGCTTGATGGACATTATGATAAGGTGATTTTTGATGGAAGTTATGGTGAGCTGATTCTTGATGGACATTATGGTAAGGTGATGTTTAATGAAAGTTATGGTGAGCAAATGCTTGTTGGAAATTATGATAAGGTGATGTTTTAATGGAAGTTATGGTGAGCTGATGCTTGATGGACATTATGGTAAGGTGATGTTTAATGAAAGTTATGGTGAGCTGATGCTTGATGGACATTATGGTAAGGTGATGTTTAATGAAAGTTATGGTGAGCTGATGCTTGATGGACATTATGGTAAGGTGATGTTTGATGAAAGTTATGGTTAGCTGATGCTTGATGGACATTATGGTAAGGTGATGTTTGATTGAAGTTATAGTGAGCTGATGCTTGATGGACATTATGGTAAGGTGATGTTTAATGAAAGTTATGGTGAGCTGATGCTTGATGGACATTATGGTAAGGTGATGTTTAATGAAAGTTATGGTGAGCTGATGCTTGATGGACATTATGGTAAGGTGATGTTTGATGAAAGTTATGGTTAGCTGATGCTTGATGGACATTATGGTAAGGTGATGTTTGATTGAAGTTATAGTGAGCTGATGCTTGATGGACATTATGGTAAGGTGATGTTTAATGAAAGTTATGGTGAGCTGATGCTTGATGGACATTATGGTAAGGTGATGTTTGATGAAAGTTATGGTGAGCTGATGCTTGTTGGACATTATGGTAAGGAGATTTTTGATGAAAGTTATGGTGAGCTGATGCTTGATGGACATTATGGTAAGGTGATGTTTGATGAAAGTTATGGTGAGCTGATGCTTGATGGACATTATGGTAAGGTGATGTTTGATGAAAGTTACGGTGAGCAAATGTTTGATGGACATTATGGTAAGGTGGTGTTTAATGAAAGTTATGGTGAGCTGATGCTTGATGGACATTATGGTAAGGTGATGTTTGATGGAAGTTATGGTGAGCTGATGCTTGATGGACATTATGGTAAGGTGATGTTTAATGAAAGTTATGGTGAGTTAATGCTTGATGGACATTATGGTGAGGTGATGTTTAATGAAAGTTATGGTCAGCAAATGTTTGATGGACATTATGGTAAGGTAATGTTTGATGAAAGTTATGGTGAGCAAATGCTTGATGGACATTATGGTAAGGTGATGTTTAATGGAAGTTATGGTGAGCAAATGCTTGATGGACATTATGGTAAGGTGATGTTTAATGGAAGTTATGGTGAGCTGATGCTTGATGGACATTATGGTAAGGTGATGTTTAATGAAAGTTATGGTGAGCAAATGCTTGATGGACATTATGGTAAAGTGATGTTTAATGGAAGTTATGATGAGCATATGCTTGATGGACGTTATGGTAAGGTGATGTTTGATGAAAGTTATGGTGAGCAAATGCTTAATGGACATTATGGTAAGGTGATGTTTAATGGAAGTTATGGTGAGCTGATGCTTGATGGACATTATGGTAAGGTGATGTTTAATGAAAGTTATGGTGAGCAAATGCTTGATGGACATTATGGTAAAGTGATGTTTAATGGAAGTTATGATGAGCATATGCTTGATGGACGTTATGGTAAGGTGATGTTTGATGAAAGTTATGGTGAGCAAATGCTTAATGGACATTATGGTAAGGTGATGTTTAATGGAAGTTATGGTGAGCTGATGCTTGATGAACGTTATGGTAAGGTGATGTTTAATGAAAGTTATGGTGAGCAAATGCTTGATGGACATTATGGTAAGGTGATGTTTAATGAAAGTTATGGTGAGCTGATGCTTGATGGACATTATGGTAAGGTGATGTTTAATGAAAGTTATGGTGAGCTGATGCTTGATGGACATTATGGTACGGTGGTGTTTAATGAAAGTTATGGTGAGCAAATGCTTGATGGACATTATGGTAAGGTGATGTCTGATGGAAGTTATGGTGAGCTGATGCTTGATGGACATTATGGTAAGGTGATGTTTAATGTAAGTTATGGTGAGCAAATGCTTGATGGACATTATGGTAAGGTGATGTTTGATGGAAGTTATGGTGAGCAAAAGCTTGATTGACATTATGGTAAGGTGATGTTTAATGAAAGTTATTGTGAGCAAATGCTTGATGGACATTATGGTAAGGTGATGTTTGATGAAAGTTATGGTGAGCAAATGCTTAATTGACATTATGGTAAGGTGATGTTTAATGGAAGTTATGGTGAGCTGATTCTTGATGCATATTATTGTAAGGTGATGTTTAATGGAAGTTATGGTGAGCAAATGCTTGATGGACATTATGGTAAGGTGATGTTTGATGAAAGTTATGGTGAGCAAATGCTTGATGGACATTATGGTAAGGTTATGTTTAATGAAAATTATGGTGAGCTGATGCTTGATGGACATTATGGTAAGGTGATGCTTGATGGACATTATGGTAAGGTGATGTTTAATGAAAGTTATGGTGAGCTGATGCTTGATGGACATTATGGTAAGGTGATGCTTGATGGACATTATGGTAAGGTGATGCTTGATGGACATTATGGTAAGGTGATGCTTGATGGACATTATGGTAAGGTGAGGCTTGATGGACATTATGTTAAGGTGATGCTTGATGGACATTATGGTAAGGTGATGCTTGATGGACATTATGGTAAGGTGATGCTTGATGTATATTATGGTAAGATGATGCTTGATGGACGTTATGGTAAGGTGGTGCTTTATGAAAGTTATGGTTAGCTTATGCTCGATGGACATTATGGTAAGGTGATGCTTGATGGACGTTATGGTAAGGTGATGCTTGATGGACATTATGGTAAGGTGATGCTTGATGGACGTTATGGTAAGGTTATGCTTGATGGACGTTATGGTAAACATATGTTTAATAGACGTTATCATAAACATAAGTTTGTTACACGTTATGATAAGCTGATGTTTGACAGACGTCACGGTAAGCTGTTTTTCTTCTACATTTAATTTTAATTGCTTGCCTTCACAGAGTTCCTTACTACTCTTATGCACAGACTTTATTTGCGTGATGTATTTTAATAAAATTATTTTCTGCTTTTTAATGCGTTTAAACTCGTCTACGAAATTAAGTATTTTTTTTTAAATTTACTTCAAAATATTTGTTATTAAAAGTTGTGAAATAGTTTAAATGTGGCATTCAAAACAATTCATGTTTATTTTGTGCTCCTGAATTATTATTTTTTTAATATCTAGGTGGAAAGAACTACGGGAGATGTCAAATTGTGTCACATATGTAAACCTAGAAACTCAGCGCTTCCTAAAGACACCAGCGTTGTAAAAGCAGAACCGTACATCTGTCTGGCTCCAAGAGTTCTCAGGGGTCGCGTTTACGAGCCAGCGGATGACATTTACGCCTTCGGGCTCCTGCTCTGGGAACTGCTGTACCCGCAGGAACCACCGTATAGCGAACAGCGGGGCTGGTCACTGGAGACCTTCATTGAGAGATGCAGTACCACGGAGATGTTACAGAGTGATCTCATCAGATTTGGGCCATCTGAAGGGGTGTTTAAGATATTATCAGGCTCTTTACAGTTTGATAGAGAAAACTTGATAGAGACGTCAGCAACCATCTTGTGGTAAAAAAAATTGCTTCTAATTCTTTTCATATTTTCATTTGTCCTGCCGAGGAAGGCTCTTAGCCTTATTCTCTTATTTTCCTGTCTTTCGATTTAAGTTGCATATACCTTGTTCAATTTCTTTTTTTTTTTAAATCGTAATATAGTAGATAACTAAGTATTAAATCAAGGCGATGCTTTACCCTAAATGTAAGGCTTGTAACCAATGTTCAGAAATGTGTAAATATAAGTCATCTCGACCACCAAAAATAACATGAACAAGTCGGAAGAACCTAGAGAGCTGAGAGTATTGGGTGGATGAAAAATGCACTTAAACTTAATGCTTTGTCTTTCCACTGAAAACCCTGAATAATCAATAAAGTGGCCGGTGCTATTTGAATAGTGTTAAATTTATTAATGAAATTAACGGCGCTAAAATTGTTTTATAGACCTTTGTTACTATGCCATGGCTAAACCGCATCTGATTTATGTTACGCAGGCAATGGCGAGACCTGGAGGATACCTCTGATTTCCAGAAAATGACGAGTGCACTTGTCGAACTTAATCAATCACCTAATTTAGGTGAGGTCAGTAGATTTGAGGGGACGACTTTTTTGTGTGTTCAAGGCAGTATTGAAAAAGAAATTTTGAGACAAAATGTTACATTTTTGTTGTTGTTTTTTTTCTTTTTTTTTTTTTTTCAAAATTAAATGTTTTTGTTTTATGAAGTAAAACTGTGCCACGCGCTTTGACACTTTCGGATTTGTATATTTTATAGTTCCAGTACAAAAGACTCCATTTTTTTTACAATATATAATTTAAATATTCTTGGGTGTTTTATTTGCATCTTGTATACATTTAAATACATTTTAAAAAAATATATATTTTATAAGATGTGCACAAAGCATTCATTTGATTCAAACCCTTTTGATCAAGAGTTTTAATATTTTTTTCTTAATTAGACTCTCCTAACAAAAACGGTGTAGATGAAGTCACCCTTGACAACCAGGACGACGGTGTGGAGGAAGCTAACCTTGCCAACCAGGACTACGGTGTGGAGAAAGCCAACCTTGCCAACCAGGATTACGATGTAGAGGAAGCCACATTTGCCAACCAGGACTACGGTGTGGAGGAAGCCACCCTTGCCAACCAGGACTACGGTGTGGAGGAAGCCACCTTTGCCAACGAGGAATATTTCTCCGGAGATGTAACAATCGGTGACACACAGCCAGCTGTTCTCCAGACCTTCGGTAAAGACGCGGATGTTAACCAATCCGATCATCTAGGCACAGAGGTAATGAATACTACAAATAAACCCAATCTGGCATGGTCGCCAGATGACCAGAAGTTCAGTGATACAACAAATAAGCAGAATTCATATCGTCAAGAAAACCATGACACTATCAGTAGTTTTGCGCAGTGACCTTCCCGTAATGCCGAAGTCGAAGTTGCACGCCATACCAGCACGATGGAGGCACCGGAGGAGGTTGTAGCAGAGGATCAGGATCAGCAAAACCGACGCAAGGAGAGAGGAGCTCAAACCTTCAGTGAGAATCCAAGCGCATCCACGTCTTTCAAAGAGGATTCTTTGTCTCGACTCCGCAAGGACGACCTCGAACGCCGTCACAGCCTATCGTCCGACGCACCGGACCAGATCGCCAGGATGCTCACTTCCACCAGCGGCAAATCTCAAAAGCCGTCTGGGAATCCGTTTTTCCGGTGGTTTAAGAAAATGACGCCCAGCAGGAGTTACGACTTTGATCACGTCTACGATGAGACGCCAAAGCCTGCGGGAAATCTGAGGCTAAGTAGGTCAGAGAGGGGCGCGCGCGTCATCCCTGATAACGACGTGGTGGTGAGGAGAACTCTGCGTTCTAAGTCCAACAGCAGGACAGACATCAAAGTACTGTCTTTTAGAATATCTCAGGAGATGTAAAGAAAAAACATATTTTAAAAATAATTTTAAACAAATATAAATACCCCCCTCCCCCCGAAAAAAAAATCTTTTTTTTTTTAACATATATAAAATTTAAAAAATCATTTTTTTTAACATATATAAAATTTAAAAAATCATTTTTTTTTAAACTTTGATTTTAAAAAAAAAATGTTTCTGTATCATTGCTTTTGTTTTCAGAAATAGATTCATGTCATGGTGTTTGTCATTACGATGTAAAAGTTTTGAAGGAAAGACTAAAATATTCTTGCTTTTATGATATTTTGGCCATTATTATAAACAAATTAACTACTTTTTTCGCTAACATGTATGGACGGACCCCCCCCCCTCCAAACCCCTTTCAAGATTTCAACAGAAGATTTCCGGTTGACTTGAGTATTATGAGGAGTTCCTTTGGTGTTTATCACGTCATCAAGCAATTTTTGGCCTGTGTTCTAGTTTTGCGCTTTTAAGACAATGGCCTTGCATAGCAATAGAGTATGATAATGGACGTCCTGGTTTACACATGACAAAATCACTAACACTTTAACTTATATTTGTGAACACATGTGCTGTAGTGTCAGTCTGTTTTTTAAATTTTGCCCCTGACTCGGGGTTACGTTAACTTTGACTAGGAGTTACATCATAGCGATCAGTAGGACAACAGTGAAGTATTGACTAGGAGTTACATCATAGCGATCAGTATAGCCACAGTGAAGTCTTGACTAGGAGTTACATCATAGCGATCAGTAGGACAACAGTGAAGTCTTGACTAGGAGTTACATCATAGCGATCAGTAGGACAACAGTGAAGTCTTGACTAGGAGTTACATCATAGCGATCAGTAGGACAACAGTGATCAGAACTGATCCTCAATGTAGTATCGCTAGTCATCCTGTTGTCTGAAGTCTTGACTAGGAGTTACATCATAGCGATCAGTAGGACAACAGTGAAGTCTTGACTAGGAGTTACATCATAGCGATCAGTAGGACAACAGTGAAGTCTTGACTAGGAGTTACATCATAGCGATCAGTAGGACAACAGTGAAGTCTTGACTAGGAGTTACATCATAGTGATCAGTAGGACAACATTGAAGTCTTGACTAGGAGTTACATCATAGCGATCAGTAGGACAACAGTGAAGTCTTGACTAGGAGTTACATCATAGCGATCAGTAGGACAACAGTGAAGTCTTGACTAGGAGTTACATCATAGCGATCAGTAGGACAACAGTGAAGTCTTGACTAGGAGTTACATCATAGTGATCAGTAGGACAACATTGAAGTCTTGACTAGGAGTTACATCATAGCGATCAGTAGGACAACAGTGAAGTCTTGACTAGGAGTTACATCATAGCGATCAGTAGGACAACAGTGAAGTCTTGACTAGGAGTTACATCATAGCTATCAGTAGGACAACAGTGAAGTCTTGACTAGGAGTTACATCATAGCGATCAGTAGGACAACAGTGAAGAATTGACTAGGAGTTACATCATAGCGATCAGTAGGACAACAGTGAAGTATTGACTAGGAGTTACATCATAGCGATCAGTAGGACAACAGTGAAGTCTTGACTAGGAGTTACATCATAGCGATCAGTAGGACAACATTGAAGTCTTGACTAGGAGTTACATCATAGCGATCAGTAGGACAACAGTGAAGTAATGGGCGCTTTGAGTCGAGGTCTGATGTTGACTCTACAAAGCACTGTAACGATTTGATACGATCTTTACCAAATTCAACGGTGTCTTCATGTTATAAATTTTATAAATGCTATTTATTTTAAGGGAAGAAAATATAACCAGAAACAAACCCTGATTTATTTTGTCTGTCTTTAAATTAAAAGTTTTATAATAGAATACAAAAGCGCAATTTTTTTTCGGTTGAAAGTAATTTATACTCCTCTCTTAATTGTCAATGCCATTGCGAGCGGCGTCTCTTTCATTATCTTCTATATTGTCTTTGACTGCAGTTCCTCCCCTCCCACGCCACACATAATTCATGGATCATAAAATGTTGGTATATTTTTTATAGGATTTCCCTCTAACTCTTCAACTTTCTCATTAGTCCAAATAAAGAAGCAGTTTTGTCCTTTATACTCGTAGTCGTAGAAATCACTCAGTAAAATTTAATAAATTGGTAAGAAACTGGCGTTATCTTCAAATATTAAAGCCTTTTTTTAAGTGGCAACATATTTAGCTCAGATGCTGTGGACAATTAAAAAAAAATATTTATTTAACTTGTTAATGTAATGAGTAATGTATATATATATTTTTGTGTGTGCTAATAATCGATTTCTGCAACTTAAGTTGGGTGGAGGTACTCTCCTTCACATTAAGTCAAAAAGACTAAGAAATTGTTGCGTGAAATCTTGTTGAAAATACTCCTTTTGTCAATAAAAAGGTATATAGTATAAATTTGTCACTGATATCAGATTTATGTTTTTTTGTGTATTCAAATTATTTAAATTTTGAAATAAAAAAAACAGGTATGTAGCGTACATGAGTACTGGGATGTTGAGTATTATGTTTTACTTTCAGTTACAGCACAGTGAACAGTACAGTACAGACACACACACAGACAGACCAAAGTTATAAAAGTAAAGTATCAAGTTAAAACTCTCACTGTAAATTAAAATAAACCTCCAAAAGCAATGTTCTTTCACCAATGCACTATACTAGGCTATATACCAGGCCTGCACAACTCAAAATGTAAGGCGGGCCGTAATACTTTATGAAAAACTTGTTTGGGCCAAAGGCCAAAAGAAAATAGGACAGCACTTGTGCAGGCCAAAAGAAAATAGGACAGGGCCGGGGAAGGGGGAGCTATTAAGAAATCAATAAGAATAAAGAATATTTCATTAATTTGCGGCCGCAAAGTGGGTGCTGGCCCGCGGGCTGAATGTTGTGCAGGCCTGCTATATACAATATAAGAGTGAAGGACACAGACTAAATAATACATTAATAAGACTAAAACAATTATGTAAAAAATTTCGACAACATTATTCATTATCTGGCTACTCACAATACTCACATTTTAAAATTAAAATCATTGTTGACAATATGCCTTACTGAGTAATGGGTATTCTCCAACAA